AAATTTAAAATTAAAAAAAAAAAGACTAAAAGAAATGGTTTATATATTTATATTCTTAGAAGATGTTTCTTCCCAGCGTAATAGTCATCGAAATAAACTGGACTCATTTAGTTTCAATTTAATAAATGAAAAAATTATCAATGGCTTATTGATATGCGAGAGATGAATTCAATTTCTCTTAAACAAAATTTAAAATTTAAAATTTATAAATAAAAAATTAATATTAAGAGAGTTTTTCATTTTAAAAAATATGATGTAATTTAATTTTAAATTAATTAAATTTTAATGTAATTACGAAAGATTAGTAAAATAATAATAATAAAAAAATTAAATAGCAACCGACACGTGATGATGTATAAAAATCTGGGAAAGGGAATATTTTTCATTTTAAAAATGGAAAAAATTTTAGGAAGACTCCAAAAGTCCATATTCCTAACTGTAGCGGTGTCGGTGGCAATAGCTTTGATAAAGATGAAAACTTTCCGTCAGGAAGTACGGCAAACTCCGCAATTACCACAATCACCTAACGGTCCAATTTTCCCGAGCCGCAACGTTAAAAAAATTCGGGAAGCGTACATGCATCGAGTTGAGATAAAACGAAAGCACACAGAGTGCAGTGAAGCTGATGATGATGTGTGCTGTTTTTCATGCTAGAAGGGGAAGACCTTAAAATTCACTTTAACCCCTTTAATGGGTCCCCGTCAGTGAAAAGGACGCACCTCTTCATAATCAAGGCTCTACAGGTGTCCCTGTGAGATGCCTTAACTGAGGCGAGAAAGTGAGAGGAAAAAGTGGAAGGGACTGGACTGGACAGTGATTCATGTGATGGTGGTTGCTTCTTCTTTTCTGCCTCCTCCTTCTTGTTGATTAGATTTTGTTGGAGCCTGTTTTAGTGGGTTTCACTATCAAGCAGGCAGAAAAAAAGTGAAATTACCCAGTTTGGGATCTGGGTTTAGCATTAGGAAAATGATGGTGAAGAAGCCTCAGTGTTGCCAGAACAGAAGAGGAACAATGGCTGGGGTGTTTGTGGTGCTTCTTCCATTACTTTTTCCTACTCTGTTTACTCCATTGAGCCATGCATCCCCTTTATTCTCGGTATGGAACTTGTTATTGCTTTCTGATTTTCTTTTCTTTTCTTTCTCTCTCTGGAAAATTTCCCCTTATCTTGTATGAATGAAAAAAGGGTTTTCATTTTATTGATTGAATTTTGTAAAAAATTTTGGCTGAGAAGTGGCAACTGACTGAAGGAGGAAAGGGAGTCTGTTTTGTCGTCCATTTAAAATTTAGCACGGATAACCAAGTGGGGATTAGCTTGAATTTGACATATTGACCAAAATGATTGGTAAAGTGGCCAAGTTTGGATAGCTAAGTGTTATCTAAGCTTCAATTAATGATCTGATAATTTGGAAATTATGCCAACCTAGAAATTTTGACTTAATAGGGTTTGTTGAGTTAATTTTAGTAGAATTTGGAATATGTGAAAATGATTACTAGGATGCTACTTCGCATTCCTATCATGTATATATATATTTTTAGTGTAGACTAGTTTTGTGATAATGTTAGCACGGCAGTGCTAGCGGCAGCACTGTAATAGTTTCCTAAGAAAGATTTTAATTTGTAAAACTTGTTATTAGAACTCTTAAGTGATGGAGAACGATTTGGGAATTTGAATCATAATTCATGTAGCAAAAGGCAGGAACTTTTCCCATATTTGCATAGACTCGGATTGGAGAATTGTTAAATGGGTGGAAGAGAGGGAAAAATAATTAATCAGTAATTCTATTCCCTTTTTTCCAAGTGTTGTGACATTTCTGAGAGAGCTATGTTTCTGAACATCAACACATGCTTGTTTTCATTCTCTTTTGTCTTGGAGTGATGTGCTTTAGAACTTTTCAGGAGTTAATTGTGATCTATTGTTGTTTGTAGCAGGAATGGAAAGCTCCAAAACCCAGGCATATATCTTTGCTTAGGAGTGCTTTACAACGTGAAAGTGTGAGTAGCAATCTCCTCAGCAGCATTTTTGTTCGTGTGCTTTCTCTCAGCGCATCTAACTGTTGGTGTGCACTTGCATGATTGTGTTGCAATTTTCCAGTTTTTAGGTGTTTTCTTGGCTGCAATTTTCACTGTTTGGTTTTCTTATAACATTTCCCTTTCAGTCTAATGGAGAGCAGTCTGATCTATGGTCTCCTTTGGAGGATCAAGGCTGGAGACCGTGTTTTGAGTCTGTAAATGCCCCTTGTGAGTGACTAGAAATGAGATTCCTACATAAATTTGGTTTCATTCAAAGTTGTGCTGGAGATTATGTTGTACTGCTTTTTTGTGATCATGTGACTTAGTTTTGTTTGCTTTTGCTCTTCCATTCCTTTGACTTTGAGCAGCACTACCAGAGAAATCCCAAGGATACATTCAGGTATTCCTTGATGGAGGTTTGAATCAGCAAAGAATGGGGGTATGTAGTTGAAGTTTCTCATTTATTTGTGCTAGACATGCCTAGAGATGTCAATAGTACCCATTCTTGTTTAAATTTTTCATATTCAGCCACTTATTAATTTGTTCTTTGTTTTTCAGATATGTGATGCTGTTGCTGTTGCTAAAATACTGAATGCAACGCTTGTAATTCCATATCTTGAAGTAAATCCTGTTTGGCAAGATTCAAGGTATTTTGTGTTGAAACACCCATTCCTTTTTGTTTCTGTTTAGTGTCTATAGTTTTTGACTTGGTTTGAAGGCACCATTCTGAAGTAAAATTATATTCCCTGCAGCTCATTCATGGATATATTTGATGTGGATCACTTTATTGATGTATTGAAGGATGACATTTCAATAGTAAAAGAGCTGCCTGATGAATTCTACTGGAGTACAAGGGAGTACTATGCCACAGCCATTCGAGATACTAGAGTTAAAACAGCACCTATTCATGCATCAGCTAACTGGTATCTAGAGAATGTCTTGCCTGTGTTGCAGAGGTTGGTAACCACTTGAAACTTTTCCTTTTTGGCATACAGCTTAGTAATCTTTTGACATTTTGTGCCTGAGTTTTTTTGACTACGACGTCCCTTATAATATCTTCTTCTATCATGGAGAAATTAGAGATATGTATGCATTATGCAATCTCTGCCATTCATTTGTAGTTATAATATTTGCTGAGTTAGACACTAAAAACTTTTGATGCATTAACTGCTTAGTTAAAATTCAATTTATCACGTGTTTCACAATGATTTTGTATTATTTGTTCCAGTATGAAGGTTTTGATTTTTTTTTTTTCCCTATGTGAATGAATTCATTAGGGCTTTTTTTTGTTTTTTGTGCCTTTATCTTTATTCATTTCACTAGCCAATTTTAAGATCATTAATATTCTGTGTGGTCCAGTTATGGGATTGCTGCAATTTCTCCGTTCTCTCATCGTTTGTCTTTTGACAACTTGCCGAGGGATATCCAGCAACTGCGCTGTAAAGTCAACTTCAAAGCACTAGCTTTTGTTCCCCACATTAGGGAGCTTGGAGATGCTCTTGTTAGTCGCCTCAGGTATCCTCATGGAGACAGTGAAAAACATAGCACTGACTTTCTGCAAGAGATCACTGGTGTTGGTGACAAACAAAGGGCTGGAAAATTTGTTGTGCTACACCTTCGTTTTGATAAGGTGCGTCCTGCTTATCCTATAGATTTGTGTGTTATTCTCTAAACCATTAGAGGGTTAACATAGGTTTTACTCTGAAATCCCAATAGATAAAAGAAAGAAGGGACTTTTAATTTATGCATGCACTGTATGTTTGCTTAATTTATACATACAGCTTCCTAAAGGAGGTGTGATTGCTCTGCTGCTGTGACAGATCAAAATGGTTGTAACATGCTTTTGTGGTTGTTCCTCAAAAGATTTTTTTTTTCTGGTAGATATATCATAACTTATGTATACAGAACCATTATGTCTCTCATGGGGCAATAGACATAATCATGCTTAAGGGATATCTCCTGCTTATTTTCTGAGCTAGAAATTGCTTGCATTTGTATGTTTAATGAGACAATAAAAGATTTTAATGCTATTTCTTAGCTTATTCGTTGCATGTCTCCCAGTGAGCCATCCATTTTAACAGTTTTTACTTTGTCCGTTGGCTCTCCCACTAACCTCATAAATGTGCAGGATATGGCGGCCCATTCAGCCTGTGATTTTGGTGGGGGAAAAGCTGAAAAATTAGCTCTAGCCAAGTACCGACAAGCAATTTGGCAGGGAAGGGTTCTTAATTCCCAATTTACTGATGAAGAGTTGAGGAATCAGGGACGTTGCCCTTTAACTCCTGAAGAGATTGGGTTGCTACTAGCGGCCTTGGGCTTCGACAACAATACCCGTCTCTACCTTGCCTCCCACAAGGTTTTTTTTATCCTTTCATTGTGGAGTTTTGGCTATATATCATTTCCCCTTTGAGAAAATTTTTCTCAAAAATGGTCCTCTTTTCCAGGTATATGGTGGGGAAGCAAGGATTTCAACTCTACGAGAACTGTTTCCACTAATGGAAGAAAAGAAGAGCCTTGCTTCTTCAGGAGAAAGGGCCCATATCAAAGGAAAGGCTTCTTTATTAGCTGCGCTTGACTACTACGTTAGTATGCATAGTGACATCTTCATCTCTGCATCTCCCGGGAACATGCACAACGCTTTGGTGAGTAGGTTTGGCTAATTCGTTGGCATCATCAATATAATTAATGAGTGCAGAGTTTTCAATCCACATTCCATTGAAGGCCTTTGAAATCTTAAGTTGATGACCATGTCTTTGATGTTAACAGGTAGGACATCGAACTTTCGAGAATTTGAAGACTATAAGGCCAAATATGGCATTGTTAGGCCAACTCTTTCTGAACAAAAACATTAGTTGGTCAGCCTTTCAGCAGGCAGTGGTTGAAGGGCATCAAAACAGACATGGGCAACTCCGGTTAAGAAAGCCAAAAAAATCAATATACACATATCCCGCTCCTGATTGTATGTGTCATGCATAGGCGTGGTGCCCATTTGCAAGATGTTTGGAGGGATGCTTACATACCTTCTGTATCTATTGATTTGATACTACGATTATTGTTTGTGGCCTGCATTATTGGTATCATAAATAATCCCATACCACTTTATGAAAGTACTTCATGTTTTGTTAAGCATATCAATGCCATCAGTTTTATAATCTAATAATAAAATTATCTATGCTTTTTAGTCACGGATCTTATATTTTTATTTTCAAAAAATTAAGCGTATCCATATTGACCATCTGTATTTAAGTAATTGAGCTAGACTGCAGAGAATAATAGTTTTCTTTCATAAATCCCTCTCACTTTTTCTCAAGGTTTACACTTTCTATCAACCTTCTAACATTGTAGAAGACAATCACTTTATGATGCTAAACGGTTTGTTTGTTTCTCAAAAGACAAACTGCATACAAACCGTTAAATTTGACAACCAGAATAGTAGGAATGGGAAGCAGCTAATGCTTTGATGTGAAATGGATGCCATTTTGATGGCGAAAAACTGGATCATATTTTGAGGGCACTATCTTGACTGTACGGAGAAGAGATACATGTATAGAAAAAATAATGGATGCACGTTTGCCGATTCACATTAGCAAAAGCCAAATATCAGTATATCTTTTCCAGCCTTCGGCATCAAGTGCAAATAACTGTTCTTATCAGAATGAGAGACCAGCGACTACTTCTCGAGTTGATCTCACTGATCAGCAGATGAGTTTGGAGTTGCCTGAATCTGACCATCCTTTTTATCCTTCTCAGAAGCGGACCCATTTCCATTTCGGTGTGCAGCAGCCAATTCTTTTACTTCTGGAGATGAGGGGGAAGCCATCTCTTCCTCAATAGGAAGGGTTCTCTTAGAGCCCTCCAAGGCAACACCAAGAACAATGTTTTCTTCCAATGTAGGCCTTGATGCTGATGGCTGTGATATTGGTGATCTCTCACCTTCTTGAGTTGATTGGGAAGTTTCTCGCAATCCGACTGCTTTCTCAACATCAGTTTCGGGGGAGGACAGTGAAGGATTATCTAACTTGCTACTCTGCTTTACATTTTCAGAGCTTGCATTCCTCGGTTGCTTGCTATCAGTGATCTTTTTGTTTCGAGTTGAGTTAGCAGAGACTGAATCTAGTACTCTCAGATCAGAACTAGTCATTTCTACATTGTCAGAACTTGTCTTGGGGGCAGATTTTGATGTCGGTTGTACCATCACTTTATCACCTGCCTTGGAGTCAGATATTGATGCTGATGAAGCCTTAAGATCCTCCTTGCTGTCTGGTGGAGGCTCTCCTATCTTAGCATCCCCTTTGGGTTCAGATGTTGATTTCCCCTTAGACTTGGACTCAGACTTCACTGTTGCTCCTGCTTTAGGGTCTGCTTGACTAACAGATGTAGATCGCAATGTGGTTTTACCATCTTGTTCTCCAGTTGCACGTGATGGACGGCCTTTTGCTTTGTCTTCTCCATTGATCTTGTAAGAGGGTTCAATCAGTAGCAGAGGGCGGTTAGATGCTGCTGCACCGTGACCATAGATCGAGTCTGCAAAAGGTGCATCTTCTAAGTCGGCATCACTAAATATTTTCTGCACTGTACGGATTGGGGTGGCAAGTCGGGCACGGTGATGGCTGATGACCCTAAGAAGATCCAAGAGTATGGTTTCCTGCATCATTAATATAACAGGACTAAGAGTGGACCCAGCCGAATATACGAAATTTAAATGGAAATATCTAGAGGCAGGAAGAACAAATAAAACGGTTAAAGTTCATTCATAGACAAAACAGAAAAGATGAGTCCCGAATTTTACACTAAACACTATAATGTGGTACTCACCAGCAAAATTATGACAAACTGAAGGATTCCTCTACGCAGCATTACTTAAAGCAATTAAAAATTATTCCCATATGAAGGCGTTTACACCACAAATAGACAGAAGACGACATCATTAGTAACTTCCATATATACAATCTAAGCACAATAATTCAACACCGAAGAGAGAATGACCGAAGCTAACACTTAAAATTTAAAACAATATTGTCATTTTGAACATTCGTCATTCATTTGTAATTTTCTGCTAATACCTTGGGGGATATATCTAAAATAAATAAATAATTAATTGATAGTAGGGATTGAGGAAAATCAGGATGTCCTGGCAATTAAAATGCAAGGATTGATAATGAAAAGACTAAAATACCCTTAATAAATCAAACACACAAAAAAGATTCATTAAGGGTACTTGAACAATTTCACAAGGAGTCCTACATTTAAAGTGCCAAGACATCTTGATTTTCACTTTCCTCTTGATGGTAATGGTTATCCTAGCATTCAAGTGGGAACTCAATTAACACAAAACTAGCAAATGCACTTATTACATAACATTAACAGTTAAAAGTCTTGTTAAAAGTCATTTCTCCTATTATAAGAATCCAAACACCCTTAAATCCTCTTGGACAAGCCATATTTCATCAGTCGAGTGTTGAATTATAAAAGAAATGCCCTCTTACCTTAACACGTAGATATTCTTCAAAATGTGAAGTCTTCACAAAACATGAAACCATTATCTGTGAACAGAAAAGAAAACATTAGATACCATATGAAATTAACACAAACATTAAGAGTAAGGTTGCAGAACCCATTTACATTGAGTAGTATTTTTTATATAGCTTTTGATATATCATCTAATATATTAAAATGGTCAATCATTATTACCATACCAAAAATATGTCCCCTCCATGAGAACCTTTAATGTACTTCTTAAAAAAAAAAAAAAAAAGTGTTGTGCAGTCTGAACAACTCTGCACTGCACAACTAAAACCATTGTATGGGCACTGGGCCCCTGATATTGGGGGTTGTCCCCCCCATCCAACGGTTCCTGTCAGTCTGAACTGCATAACATGGATCTATTCTTAAATAACTTTAAAACAAAGAAGCTAACACAGCCGATTCCTGGATGGATTCAGATAGTTAAATGGTAAAAAGACACAAACCAAATGGATAAAAAAGTCAATTCCTTTAAAAATTAAAATTTAGATTTGCAGATAAAACACCAAAAGAACACAAGCTGTTACTTAGATGTCATTAAGTTTGATAATTTTACAAAGGAGAGTATAATACTGAAGAACTTAGCCAAAAATTTGGTGATTGTAAATGAACTAACAAGCCATCACAAATAGAATGATCACTTCAAAGGAAAGATCAAAAGTTTAACACTAACCAGGAGAGCCTGATTCTCATGACTAATGTTGTCCAGAAATACTCTTCTGTGCAACCTCTGCTGCTCAACCTGAGGATTCTTGGCCAGGACCTTGCGCATGTCAGCAACAATATTCTGTAAAGGAGTATAATTTATCAAAAAGAAAATTTTCTGCAAGCAATTGAGTTGTTCCAAAGACAAATGTACTTATGAAAGGGTAAACAAGCTAGATAACTCACATGAATTTTATTGACATCCAAGTGACTGATGGCCAGGTGGGTCTTAATGCGCCAATGAGTTTTCTGACTGAGATTTCTCACAACATTCATCGTAAATTTGTGGTTTGGAATGTGAACTGCTTCACGATCTTCCCCTCTTACTATTGTTGGTGACCACCAACCAACATGCTGCACGGATAAAAATAGCAAAAATGCATAAGAAAAATCCCGCTGCTTTATAAATTCAGGAGAATCACTTCATTAATAGATAATCATTACTGTGGAGATCCAACAAATACAATAATCAAAAGTCATATCTGGATCCCACTTCTTCAGACAGGGTGTTACTGGAATACAAACCTCAACAGTGCCAGAAACATCATAGCCCTCAATTTTTGTTTGAATCCATTCATTGACAACAAATGGTCGAGTTGCGTGAATCATTGCACTTGAGAGAAAATTTGTAAATATCTAAAACAATGAACAATAGATGTCAACCACTGAGAAAATGATCTACATTTCTCACGCAAATAGAGAGAAAATAATTATAGGTGACAATAAACATGCAAATTGAAATGGACAGGCATGAAAAGAATTTTCATGTACCTCACGACCAGCAAGAGTCAGCAAAACTGTCCCAAGACCTCCAGCAGTTAGCCACTTCTGGGTAGAGAAACCCAACAACTCCATGAAAAGTGACACAGCAGCAACCCAAACTGCAGTGTAGACAGCTTTCCCCACAAACTGGAATCCCATCTGCCAGGAACAAAAGAGAACTCATGAAATCAATCCAAAAGCTAACCGCCTGGTCTATCTACTGGTATGCTAACTGACCGCAATGCATGCATCATAGCCAATCATAAGAAAATAATGTTGCCTCAACTAATTTATTTGGCCTGCTAATAAGTTCACAAATCTTCCAAGACAAGAACATGCACAGTTATGTTTGTAAAACACTGAGTGGATAGGACTTAAATTAAATGCTTTTCGTTCATTATATAGCTTATAATAATAATGATAAACTTCAAGGTAGGTAACTAAAATGTGGTGGGTTATGTTAAGCCATGATGCATACATTTCTCGCATCACTGGGGTCACTTGTCTCCATGAAGAATTTCTGTGTTTGTTCAATCAGGCTGCAAAGAAGTGTTTAACCATGATTAGTGGTAATGCAAAAGTAGTCTTTTTTCATAACTTGGGAGACATGATTGACTTTGACCAATCAAATGCTATAAATAACAACAAAACAATTAAAAACCAGAGACTATGATAAATATAGTAAGAAAGGACAGATTAAACAACTTGATAATGCTATACATAAGAATAAGAAAACAATTACAAGAGCCAAACACTGATCAGTCATTCGAAAAAATTATGACAACAGACAAACACACCTTGAAAAGCAATATGTGATGGCCAGCACAGTTGATAATGAACTAACAAAATTCAAAAGCCGTTGCTTAACAATCTGGCTAGCTGCAGTAGGAAGAACTAATGGATCCAGTGCTCTAGAAAAAACAAACCCATAATGAGGAGTCAATTAAAAAAATTGGAACATAGGCTTTGAATTCTGAAGTTAAATATATAAATATATATCATGAGAGACACCTGCATATGAGAATTGCTCCAGTCCATAGCAGCAAAGGTTGAATATAAGAGGTTATTACATAATGTGTGCTACTCTTTTTCCAACCATTGTCACCCTTCTGCAGGTTATCATAAGATATTAGATAATACTAAAAGACAATCAACACAATTTGTACAGAGGCCTATCAGAAAGACTCACAGAAAACAACATAACTAGCATAACTTAAAGAAAGTGCACATACATGAAGCAGTAGACTTCTGCTTTGACGCACAAGTGGCATGAGTCCCCATAAAGCAAAAAGTATTATACCAACTGCAGAAGCCATCTTAAAAACAACAGGACTGCCTTGTAAAACATTACATGACCTGCATTAATTGAAGTCTTAATGGTTGCTAGACATAAAAGAAAACAGTCCATAAAACACAACAGTGGCGCCAAATGCAACATTATTGTATTCTGCTTTGCACTAACCATAGGAGTAATTAACTACTGAAAAAAGAACAAGAACAAGTTTCTCTTAAACAGTTATATATATTATATACATACATACATATATATATATATATATATCCTTATTAAATTTGGGACGCTTTATGTCAAATATCAGATATTCCCCTCTTCTACTCTTGGCAAGGGTTTCTGGCTTGGATGGGGAAAAGGATCAGAAGAAGGGCTTTATCCAGAACTCTCATTAAACTGGCCTGGACAGCAGCACTTTATCATGTGTGGAAGGAAAGGAATAACAGAATTCATAAGCAGAAATTTCAGTCTGCATTGGTGATTGTTTAGCATATTCAATTTGATCATGTAATAAATAAGATTTTGGGTTTTTAAAAACCAAAATCTTCTGTACTACCTAAGCAAATTGCAGTACAGTGGAGGATTGAGGCTGTTGTGAAGGATTGAGTGTAGTTTGAACTGTACTTTTTCATTGACCGTAACAGCATTCTTGCTGCTCTTTGTACATTGAGTGATTGGATAAATGAAAATTTTACATTCTATCCAAAATATATCCTTGTGGAAATAAAAAGCAAAATTACCTCGTGAATGCTGTAGAAACAGCTTTTGCAGCAGGAAGTTCAAATACTTGACTTGGTACTTGAAAAGAACGACATTTAAAGGCATTACTTTTATAAGGAACAGCATGTATGGGCCCATTCAAATTTCCTGAGAGACGACTCCCCCAAATATCTTGTCTTCGAGGCTATGACAATTAAAAAGGTATCCTCAAACATCACTGAAACAAAATTATCGTTCTGCTAACAGGAAAATTTAATCAAACAAAGCCAATCAAGGAACTAGAATGCAGTTAGATACTGTTAATAATTAAGTTGGGAAAAGTTTATATCCCACTGTTATTGTAAATATCAAATTTCCTCAGTGAGTGAAATTTTTCCTTACTAGAAAGTAATGATGTGGCCATGAAAGGACCATCATATCCTCCCATGATCACAATTCATTGATAACTGACCAACAAAGTTCCAGACTAACCACCAAATGAAAAAGGGAATTCCAGAGTAACCACAAGTCATGGAAAGAACAGAAAAGCTTAAAGCTATATAGATGCTACAGTAAACAAACAACAAAAAAATGTGCAAGCATTCATTAAGGAAATTCCTTTGTAATTCAATGTTGATATGACATTATCCAACATTATAGAAGAGAATTATGTAAAGAAAGAAGCACTAATACTGGAGGGAAAGACCATACCAAAAAATTGAATGAAATAGTTCCATTAACCAAATGCAACTGGCTCCTACCCGAGATACTCTGGGAAAATTAAAAAAACAAAATAAAAAAAAAATTAAAAACATAAATGAAAGAAGATGCCAGATGGGAAATATATGCCTTTCCCTTTTAAGGTAAAAAAAATCCTCTACCTTACCTTAAACTGTTTATTGCACCTGTGGTTCCTGTAAAGTCCCAATTCATGGGACAACTGCAAAGAACCAGCCAGAACCATGGTTTGATGGAAGTCAATTGCTTTGAGGTGCTATCAGAAGCATAAGATCAAGTGTCCCAAGATTATTTAACCTTCAGTAAAAACTGATACTGAAAAAAAAAGCCTTCTGCACTTCACCATACTTGAACTGGCTGTAGAAAACTAATTATTTCACGCAGTAAAAAAAGGTAAGAAACTAAGAATATCACTCCAAAAACAGTTTAAAACCCATTGATCACATTAAACTCTGGTAAAATCCTCATGCCAAGCTTCATGAAGAATCAGCCAATACAACATAGTTAAAGGGGGAAAAAAATGGAAATCTCCCACTTATTACAAAATTGGATCATCCATTACTGCCATACCATCAATTCCCGAAAAGGATAAATTAATTAAATTTAAGCATTCTGCTACAAATAGATGTAAATAAATACATCATTCAAGATGCCCCCTATTGCAAACATGAAGGACAAAAACCCTAGAAAATGTCTGAAACAAAAAAACATGCTTTCATAAAGTTCACAAAGCAAAGATACTACCAAATTGTTTTCCCCACTCTGTTGTTGTTTCCGTTTGAGATTAAATTCTATCTAGATATTGTAATATAAAACAATACTTAGACCTAAACATTATGAATTAACTAGAAACTCTAGAAATATATGATGAATTCAAAACTACTAAACCTAAGGCATAATATAATTCCAAAATTAATTCCAGAAAAAAAATATAGAAATTGAAATACATTTAGCATTGTAAAACAAACAAGTAAAAACTAAAAACATAAAAATTGAAATATGCTAAGCGTTGTAAAATAAACGTAAAAAGAGGAAGAATCACCATCCCTTGAAAAATATTATCATAACAACAGCAGGAAATTATCCGACCAACGAAATTCAAAAGGAGAAAGCGAAATGTCTACGCACAGGAAAACAAGAAAAAAAAAAGGAAAAAGAAATAAAATTCGGGTAAAATTCGAAGATTGAAAATTACCTAATTGAAGAAATCAAAGCCGATGGTTTCAGGCTGCAGAAACTTGGACAAAATTCCGATACAGTGAAAGGAAGAGGAAGAGCGCGACGGCGTTGAGAGGAGGAGAGAGAAAAGGAAGGGCGGAATCCGATACCTAACCTGCGCCGCGAACTCTGAACCAATGAGTGCGCTAACGGTTAACGGGGAACTATTTGTTAAAGGTGGTGTTAATTTTGCCACCACAGACATCGTAACGTCTCGTCCTTTTCTTCCCTTTATTTTATTAGAAAAATGATATTTTTTTTTCCTGAAAATATTTAGGCTATGTTTGGTTTTATTTTTTATATTTGAAAATAGGCAAAGGTTATGTTTGGTTTTATTGTTCTTTAAAAGTTAGTAATTGTAGCTATTAAGTTATTGTTTATAAAAATATTATATATTAAATTCAGTGTCTAAGCTAATATTTTTAATTACCTCAAGAGTTTTTTTTGAAGAAAAAGAATTATAAATTGATAAAATTGACTGCTAATTAAAAAAAAATTGATAAAATTAACTAAATTAAATATACTTTTATTTATAATGATATGGACAAATTTATTGAATTTATTATATGAATATTTTTAAATATTATAATACTTTTTTAATATTAAAACGCCATACTTTTTTATTTTTTATCTTTTAATTACTTTTTCAATAAAATTAGGTATTTCACCAAACCAAATAGAAATTTAATAGCATGACTTTTCTGACGTCAGAATCTCATGATTTTTACAATTATTTATTTATTTATTTATTTCCGTTTACGGCCTGCAATTGTGGACAGAATCGTCGAGAGAAATTGGGCGGAAAAAATAGAAAAAGGCGGCCGGGAATTGTCACGGCCTGACGGAGATGGCAGACGAGGAGAAAGTGAAGAACGAGGCGTCGGAGATTCTAGGGCAATACCAGAACCTGCCTCGTCTGGTCGTCTTCGATCTCGATTATACTCTCTGGCCTTTTTATTGGTACCTTTCTTGCTCCTTTCCCTGTGTGTTTGTTTGAAGTCAATCAAATTTGTAGGGTTTCAGTTCAGTTCCTGTATTTCTGGTTTGAAATTGCAGAGAAATTAGCTGAAGGTCGAATACAATTGATTCATTTGGAAAAACCTGTTTTGTATATGTTGTTGCTATTGATATCGAGGGGAAATAATAATTTTTCTAGTTTGATATCAGTGAATGTTGCTACGAGGATGAAATGCCATATCTGTATCAGCATGCAAAAGGCATATTACATGCACTAAAGGAAAAAGGAATTGATGTGGCTGTTGCTTCTAGGTCACCAACGCCTGATATTGCCCAAACATTTCTCAATAGATTGGGAATCAATTCCTTGTTTGTTGCGCAGGTGAGCCACTAGGGAAAACTTTTTGTGCCATGTTTCAGGCCTGTTTGCATTATTCTTGGGATAAATTTGTCTTGTCTATTCATGTAATGTGCGGCTTTATTTTGATTATGCTGTATTTTTGTGATGGTGTGCAAATTCATGTAGCTGAATAACTGCGTTGTTGTCTTAAATCTTTCCTGAATCTGTCCGAAATGATAATATTATCCTCATAGCATTTTTTTGGTTTATTCTCTAATTAGTTGTATAAGTGCTGCCTCTGCCATATAGAGACATAAAAATGGGATTTTTAGTTTATGATCCTTTCATCAAAGCATATGGCATTTACACCATGCAGTGTGCAGGTTTCTCACAGGCATTTACTTTGGGATTTTTTTTGGCCATACATTTAGTTTGGGATTGAGACTTATGTTTTTTCTTTAGCTAATGGGGAGTGAGACTTTAACTCTTATCTTCTTGTTAGGTGTCTTTAGTCTTCATTCACATCCAAGTAACAGTTATTTTAATTGATATGCAGGAGATTTTCCCCAGCAGGACTCACAAAACCGAGCATTTCCAGAGAATTCATAGAAAGGCTGGAGTACCATTTAGTTCAATGCTTTTCTTTGATGATGAGGACAGGAACACTGAAGCGGTAAAACTTGCTTTTTCACTAGCTTCTTATTTTAATGATTGTCTTTTAAGGCTATATGCTTGCAAAGGATATCTATGAATCAGCACCCTGGAATACCATGTAATTACAAAAGGAAATGTTACGAATTTTGTCTTTAGTGCACTAATTATTCCATATAGTTGTCTAATTCTCAGAATGGTATTTCTAGGTGTCAAAAATGGGAGTCACAAGTATTTTGGTTGACAATGGAGTAAACCTTGGAGCATTGAGGCAAGGACTATCTGAATTCTCTCAAAAAACTGCTTCATCTAGCAGGAGCAAGCAGAAGTGAAAAATTACTTTTGTTGGACATATATCTGACTAAGTATTTCAATCAGGTTGAATGCTGCTGAGATTAAGTATTTCATAAATTAGTCAGTTTATTGCACAGACCTGTGCCTTAGATGCAGCTGGATTAACAGGGGATACTTTTCAATCATTCTTGGACATCCTTGTCAATTGTCATTTAGGATTCCAGAAACCTATTGAATCTATTGAAGAATATTGAATCTGAAGAGTATTGATCATGTACTTTAATCTTTGTGTATTGAAGAACATTGAATCTGTTGGAAATACCCAATCATGTACTTCCCTCCAAATTATGTAAATCTCAAATAAAACATATGCAAGATACATCTCAAAACCTGACGCACATAATGGCTAACTCCTTTAAAGACTCGAGAGTCTCTCTCCAAAGGCGCTATACAGTAATTGAGAGCGTACATTTAATAGGCCAGTACACTTTGCCATACCATTTCGGAGAACTGACATCCAAAGAACGGATGCTCGCAAGTTTCATCCTCACCATGGCACGGCAAGCATTAAAAATCTAGTGACAAGCCTCTAGCCGCCAACAAGCACCTTGTTTTCAACCTCCCTTTAATCACTAACCATAATATGAAACTGTGCCTAGGAAAGCAGAAACTAGACCAGACAACACCACGCCAACACAGACTACATATTTTGTTGTGAAAATGATCATGGTCATGTTCGTATTCCTATCTATTTTTTATCTTTATTTTCAAGCAAAAGATTGAAACCATATGTCATGACACCTTTGCACTATCTTCTTAGGCTGGATTTCAAACTGCAGGCTAGATACAAGAAAGAATAAGCAAACAATAGATTTTCATGTATAGCATCTGAATACATAACAGACTCGAAAATGGTCCAGATTAGAGTTCTTCAAGGATTTTGCATTAAAACTCAAAGGATTAAAAAGGAAAGCTGTTTCGTTCCCATAAAACAAGATGCGTGGTATCTTGTTAGTAGCAGAAACAAATGCTTACACTCAACAATCTGTCTATACAAGCTCAGAAAATATTAGGAGTGGAAAGAAAATCACACAAGCTATATGATACCTAGTATCCTTGCACTTTGCCGTCAGTTGAGCAGCCTGAACGGTGATCTGTCCTCAACAATGGACTCAAGTCTCTTTGTTGTGGGTGAAGAAATATTATGAATATTCTCTTTTACAGAGTTGAAAGCTTCATCATTTCCTTTCAAGGCCATACCTGAGGCATCGCAAGAGTGGACTATCCTTCCCAGCATTCCCATTAGCTGCATGTCTTCACTGGACAACTTACTGATGATCCTATCTCCCAGGCCTCCAATACAATCAAACAGGTTTTCCCTCTCCATGGACAACTTCATAACATCTTCTAGCAAATTCCCTTTTTCACACCTCAGTTCATCAATTAAGGCATCTGATGTTCTCAGTTTTGCCTCCATTTCATTGGTCAAGCTCTTCATTTCCACCTGCTTAGCTTGAAGTTCAGCTTCTACCTTCATTGCTTGCTGCTTCGTACCAGACAGGGATCTTTCCTGCAATATAAGTTTCTCCTGCATATCTTGAATGTCATCTTCCAGCTCTGAAATCATCAACTTTTTCTCTTCAATTTCTACCTGGGCCAGAAGTTCTGCTCTGGCAATATTTTCCCAGGCTTCACAAACAAGATTAATCTCTGTCTGCTTCTCAGCAAGCTGCAAGGAAAAGGAGTTCAATGATAAATTAAAATTTTCTTCCATTGATTTGACAGCCTGCATGAGACCATCAATTCTCTGATCTTTCTCCTTCATATGTTGTGCAAGATTCTCTTTTTCATGCTCAAGTGCTCTTTCAGCACCCATATATGCAAATGCAGCAGCTTCTAATTCCCTTCTAAGTGATTCTTGTTCCAGCATGTCAATCTCCTTCTGGAGATCCTCCAAGATCTTGTTCTTTTCACAGGTGATTTGGAGAAAGCTATCCCTTTCAGACTCAAGGGAACTAGCTGTCTCCATTCTTGAAGAACTTACTGCTTCTACTTCTCTTGTTTTGAGCTCTTGCTCAAGCAACAAAACCTGCTGCTGGAGATTACTTATCCTGCTGTCCTTTTCTTCTAAAATACGGGCAAGACAATCTTTCTCTTGCTTGATGTTTTCCCCATCTTCTACTTCTGCAAGGAGAGAAGCTTCTAATTCTTTACGGAGCATCTGATTATCTTCGAGGCAAACTTTCAACTGTTCAGCAACAGATTTCCATATCCACAATTCAAATTCAATTTCGTGTCCTTCACTAGTTTTCTCAAACAATGCAGAATTTGCTTCATCCAAAGCACCACAAACTTCTCTTAGCCTCTCTTCTGAATCAACCTCCATTTGCAAAATTTGCTCCTCTAAGTGACTTTGACGCCTGGAAGATTCCTTATACATTTCCTTGTACCTCTCAAGTTCTTTCTGCATCATAGTCAGCTGCTCTTCAATGAGTTCCAAGGACTCAACCATCCCCATCAAAATATGTGCCTTCTCCCGTTCTTTGGCCAATTCAGACTTTGCCATTTCCAAAGCATGACAAACTTGTCCGAGTTTCTCTTTAGACTGACTCTCTATCTGGGAGGCTTGCTCTTCCAAACAAAGTTGATTCCTTGATGCTTCCTCAATCACTTTTTTTTGCTCCTCTAGCTGTTTCTGCATCAAGAGCCGCTGCTCTTCTAAGAGTTCCAATGACTGAACCCTCCTCAACAATGATGCTACCTTCTCACGTTCTTCAGTCAATTCAGAATTTGCCACATCTAAGGCGTCACAAACTTTTCTAAGTTCTTCTTTTGAATCACTTTCCACCTGCAAAGCTTGTTGTTTCAACTGAAGTTGACACTTGTATGATTCCTCAAGCATCTCTTTAGACCTCAGAATCTCTTTTTGCATCAAGTTATGCTGGTCCTCAATCAGTTCTAAGGACTCAACCCTCTTCAATAATATCAATGTCTTCTCATGCTCTTCTTCAATATCTCTCTGGGCTTTGGCCAGTGCAGTATTCTTCATATCCAGCTGCTGCATCAAAAGAGAAACTTTCTCCTCCCTCTCTTTCTTGTGAAGGCTTAATTCACCCTCAATATCTGCAAGCTTTAATTGGGCCTCATATATTCCAGACTTCAACACCAGCAACATCAAAGAAAGCTCCTCATTCTGCAATTTCAACTGCATTGCTGAAGACAAACAAGCTTCAAATTCTATCTTAAGCTCTTCAAGTTCAGCATCTTTAGTCTCTAACTGAGACTTGGACTCATTCAATTGCTTGGTCATCTTTTCCAGCTGAGAGTTCCATTCTGCTTCTTTAGCCTGAAGGATTTTAGAACAATCTCTATGCATCTGCTCCACATTTTTGAGCTTGTTTCTTAATTTTGACAGAGAAGAAGAAGGTCCTGCTTCCTGAATCCTGGCCTCCTGTGCTTCTTTGAGTGAAATTAGCAGTTCTTCATTTTCCTGCTCTAGTTTTGCTGTTCTATATTTCAAATCCTTATAAAATGTCTCCTTTGTGCACAATGAATGTCTGAGTGCTGCAATTTCATTGTCCCTCTGAGCAGATATCAACTCAAGTTGCGATTTTGAGTCCTGACATTCAGCAAAAGCATTCTCAAACCGTTTTCTGAAGTCTGAAACCTCAACTTCAAGGTACTTTCTTCGAGTTTCTTCATGTGCCAGGGCTTGGTTGCACAACTGTAACCGGTGTTGAAGATCTTTTGAGATGCTGATCTGAGAATCTAAGTTCATCTGCAGTGAACTAATCTCATCATACAATGTAGACTTTTCCTGCTCCCATTCTTTCTGGCTTACCCTGAACTGATCTCGAAGCTTCCCATGGGCTTCTTCTAAATGTTTGAATTGCTCCATCTTCCATTTTAGCTTATCTTCAACCTTTCTGTTTTCTTCCTCTAAGTTGAGCAACATATCATCTCTTTGCCTCAGTTCCTTGGAATTTTTGGCCTTCTTCTCAGCTTCAGTACACTTCTTCTGTGAAATTGACAGAAGCTCTTTGAGACCCTCAATCTCAGCCCTAAGTACATTAATCTTTTGCTCTTCATCTATGTTCTTCTCATTTGCCTCATCTAGAGCCAGCAAAAGCCCTCTTTTCTCCTCCTCCCAATTTCGATACTTCTCATCCCAGTCAGCTCGGAGCTTCTCATTAGCAGCATTCAGACGCTTAATAATAGTTTCTTTTTCATTGAAACTGCATTTAAGATCTTCATAACTTTGCCTCAGCCCAGAAACTTCTTCTTCCTTCTGAAGTAGTTCTTGAGACTGCTTCTCAATTTTCAAACCGAACTCTTTGATTTTAATATGCTGCTCATTGTTAGTTTTCTTCAAGCTCTCGAATAATTCTGATTTCCTTTTGCATTCTGCCCTGAGCTTCTCATTCTCAGCTTTGATTTCATCTAGCTCCTCATACACCTTCTCCATTCTCTTTCCTTCAGACAGAAGTATTTTCGAATTCGGGCACCTGTTTGCAGGCAAATCCAAGTTTAGACAACAACTATACAATAACCTAATAACTAATTTCTTTCTACAAAGAGCTTAACTGAAAATTTCTCAAATGAACAAAAGAGAAGCAGACAATTCTTGGTAAAAGACCTAGAGAAGCTAACTTATAATTCCAAAAAGAACACTGCATCTTGCATTTCATAGGAACAAAACATAAGTACAAAGGCATCCCAAGAAACATTAGCTATTCGTATGATCCATGACAATGCATCAAACTTCCAAGAACTGAAAAATTTATTGGTATGATCCACGGCTTTTCAAATGCAAGAATCCAAAAACATACCTTTTGCAACTAAATACCCATGTAAAAGAGCAGACTTGAATATCGGAATATAAATGCCTTCCAGCAATATGAACATTTAAATCATAGCACTTTTACAGCAATGTTCAAGGAACATAAATCAAGAACAGGTAATTCACATTCTTAGGAATTTCTCCATTTAGAACCCTAGAAATGCTAAAGTCCACTTATCCAAGGAACAACATCAACATTGTATGTAAATCAGGATCTGAAATTCCCTTTTCTTTTCCAGAATCCCAGGCACAAAAAGAAGAGCCATGGTAAAATATCTAATTGAAAAAAACAGCAATTCTAAAAAAAAATGCATAAGAAATACAGCCCTAAATCATCATAAAGCAGAATAAAGATTATAACTACACAGAGCATCAAATTAGCACAAGCAGCAAATCAGAGGTTCCCAGTAACCTCAAAACAAGAATTAAACCAAAATTATCACTTTTCTCGTGTTTGATTGGAGAAAGTTCGTATCTTTTGTCCCTTTTTTTTCGTTTTTCCTTCTTCTGTTACATTTTCTCTGCAACCAAACGAGAAAACAAGAAAGACCCAGAATAGTACCTGGTATTAATATCACAAAATCTTCATCTAAGAGACTTCTGAGCAATTGTTTTGTGAATCCTGGTTCTTGATGAAGTGAGGGAATGGTGCAGAAAGAGCGCAAGAAAAGGGGAGAAGAAAGAAAAGTTCAAAAATGTTAAGGGTTGGGGAAAGAGCCGTTAAGAGAGCAAGGGATACGAGGGATTTGAAATCCACCTGAGGGAATCCAACGGTACAATGGTGTGGGGACTAACGACGTTAGTCTTTGACGTCCGAATCCGTCATCTTTTTCCGTTTGGCCGTTTGTTCCCAAAAGTTGGTACCGGGTTTTGTTTTATTTGAACGAGGAATACTAGCCGTTATTCAGTTCAATGCTTTAAGACCCGACCCGGTAATTCGAGCATCGGGTTTAGTTTAATTGGTTTAATTAATTTAATTAATTAATTTGATCAATTAATTAAAAAATAAGTTTTTTAATATTTTTATATATTTTATTACTATATATTGACATTACTTTATGTTTAATATATATTAATTATCTTATAAATAATTACGAGACACACGAATGCTCTTCAGTTTATTTATTTATAATCTGTTGAGATCACGGACTTATTTTATCATGATTATAAAAGTTGAAACACTTTCTTCACAATTAGAGTGTTCTAACAAAAACTTTTAGAAAATGACATTATTTTGGCTATATCATTATATCTAACGTACTGATTCAACGTCCAAGAGTGCAATATTAAAATTAAGGAACGAACGAAAGGTATTGAGTTATTTTTTTTCTTTATAATTGAATTAGGGTTTCCTTTACTTGAAAATGATAGGCAATAAGAAATTTGAAAAGTATGCAAGTGGAATTGGACTAATAGTAAATAATAGAAAAAAATTAAACATTTTTGTGGTATAACAAACTATGAAAGAAATTGATTAATTTCATTTCATTAATTCATTGCATGTTGAGAAAGTTTGGTTGATATATGTACAAATAAGTTGGACGGAGGCTTGGGAGTAAAAAATCTAGAGAATTTCAACTTAACTTTGCTAGAAAAGTGGAAGTGGAGGTTACTTAGTGATAAGGAGGCATTAGGTAAAAAGGGCAAAACAGCCCTAGACTCTTAGTTTAGTGGCAAATCAGCTCCTAAACTTAAAAAGAACGCATATAGACCCTCAAACTCTGTAGATGATATCAAATGACCCATTTTCTAGCGGAGACTTCTCCCCATTGTTTTCATCTCAAGACCACTTATCCCCTTTTGATTTTTCCCATGCAATTCCCAAATACTCGATGACAATCAAGCTTGAAAATACATAAAAATAATAAAGCCCAAGGTATAGTTTGTTTTTAGGTAAATTAGTAATCAAGGATTTTGGTTTTCAACGAAATTCTATATGATATTGACTTTGATGAACTTTTGACAAGATCTTTATTTAGATTTTTTTTTTTTTTGCCATTTCTGTCTTGATGAACATTGCTTGGCTTATTAATTTCTTTACTTTGCTTGATGGTGTTAACGAAAGTGATTCGCATTTGAAATTGTTGTGAAATCTCAAGCATTAATTTGATAATTAAAATGTAATTGTGCATATCTCTATTTTCATAAATTTATATAAAAAATATAAAAGTTAGCATTAATTTTAATATTATTAACACATAAATGAATTTAATTAAGTAATTGATTAATTAAAGTCAACTCGCTTTTTTCAACACATATTTATACTGTAATAAAAAAGTATAGGTTCAAACCCTAATTTGGTTCCTTAATTATTATACGAACCACTGAGTTGGTCCCTAAACTAAAAATATTCCTGATTTGATCTCTAAGGTTTCTAAATTTGGCTCCAAGTTAATCACTCCATTCAAAAATAACTAACATGTCCTATTACTAATATGATATGTGGCGATTAAGTAACAACCTTATGTTGTCAAATAACGTACATGTTAGCTATTTTTTAACAAAAGGACCAACTTAGAGCCAAATTTAAAAACTTTAGGAACCAAACCAAGAATTCTTTTAGTTTAAGGACCAAATCAAAGGTTCATCCAATAGCTGAAGGACCAAATTAGGGGTTTAACCAAAAGTATATTTATTATACTTTTATCCTATGTATTATGCACTTAAGGCACAATTAGAAAAACCCTTGTGTAATGGCACTTTATTTGTATATTTAGTTTCCTTCCAATTTGTAAATTGAATTGAGAACATGGTGATTGATTTTTGTTGGGGCTCAGTTTGATGGGCTCATCCATTATAAAAAGGGGTCATTTCTAACCATCTGTAGAGTTTGAGGGTTCATGCTCATATGCTTTTAGTTTAAGGGCTAATTTGCCATTGAACAAAGAGTTCAAGGGCAAATATGCCCTTTTTGCCGAGGCATTATGGGTGAAAGTTCTTAGATCAATCTATAAAGTGAATAGGAAGAATGAGTGGGATGCATGTGAGGGGACTACAAAAAGTTCAATTGGTGGAAAAATCTATGGGACTTAGATAGGGCAAATCTTAATAATAAAGGTTGATTGAGTGATATGGGATGCTAAAGGTAATTGGCAAGGGCAAAGAAACTTCTTTTTGGCATGAAAAGTGGTGAGGGAGTTAGCATAAAAAGAAAAATATGAAAGGTTGTATGGCTTAATAGTGAATAGGGATGCTTCAATATCTAGTGTGGGTTTTGGGAGAATGGGAATTGGAAATCAGACTCGAACTACAGAAGGATTTGTTAGCTAAGCTTGAAGGAGTGACATTAAGAAAGGTGTGTAGGACAAATGGATTTGGAAGCATGACAAAAAGGGTTGCCTATACAGTGAAATCTACATACAATCTGTTAAACTCACAATAAGATACTCACTTCAACAACAGATACAAGCTTGTATGGAATGGAAAGATGCCTTTGAAGGTGGCAGCAATGGCTTGGAAGGCTATCCAAGACTGGCTTCCAACACAAATTAATTTACTAAGAAGGAACTTAATAGAAAATTCAATTGAGTTATTTTGTGTCTCATGTGAACAAGATATTGGAAGCAACAGATCACCTTCTCTTTTCCTTTGATATTTCTTAGAAAATCTGGAGTGCATGTTACAATTGGTGGGGTATTAAGGTTGCAGCACAAGAGCGGGGGTGGGGTTCATTTCTTACAACACAATGGCCTAATCTTAAAAGGAACTATGAACCAAGCTTGCATTGTGATTTGGTATGCTATCTTCTGGCCCCTTTGGCTATGGCGAAACTAGAAGATCTTTAAGGAGGAAGTTGACAGAGAAATTAAGGTTCTTGACATTGGTTAAGACAAAATTGTGGCCAGACTTAAATCAAGATGCATGGTGCACAATGGTACTCTAACCCATTTACATTTACAAATCCTTCACTTCCGTAAAGTATAAACATCAATAAGCACCGATAGATATTAACATTGCCATAGTTAACAAGTAGCCTTAAGTTCAAATAATAATAATAATAAGCCACAATTTTGAAATCCACTAATGCCAACATCTAAATTTACAATAATTTCAAAATGGATCCTCACCATATAATTATTAAAAATGTAGAACTTGATTTGATTAAAATTCACCTACTTAAGACAAATCAAAAAACAAAATATGTGGGGTGCATGGTATTCAATGAGATGGGGACTGTTAGTGCTAGAGAATCCCTACTCTATTCATGAAGTTGGTTTTGCAGGTGGCAATGCCTAGTAGTTTATGATGCCCACAATGATTTTCTTTCTACATTAATAGTCTTGTTATATCCATATAATGATTGTTAAAACAATCTCTAGTTGTAGATGACTCATTTTATTTAATTGTCTAGATTAGTCATGGGTATGGTTTGAATTTATAACCGGTGATGTAAGTTATACTTCAATTTTAAGTTATATTGTCATAGTATAGAGATTATGCTGATGTAATCTCAATTTCATTTTTAATAATATCTCTATTTTCCAAAAACAAAAAAACAAAATAACCTCACAAATATCATCAAATAAAACTTATAAATAAGCCGCAACTATTACTCCCAATTGGGTAAATATCTACAACTTGGATAACACAAAAGGGCCGTTTGGGCGGAGGTAAAAACTTTAACGTTACCCTTACCTTTCCGGTTGGTGCAAGTGGGTATAGTTGTGCTCCTTTCTGCTGACTCTAACTCTTCTTCCTTTAATTGATTCTTGATCTTTTTAACAAATTGGGCACATTTCGGTTTTATTATTCTTCAAGTGCTTACACAAATTTGACTACCTCATTATAGCTTTTATAGTGCCTATGGCCCATGGAATCGAATCACAATGTACATGTACATGTGCATGAAGATAAATGTATACTCAAAAGCATTGTACAGCTATACTCAATTCCTTTGCAAAGATTTAAATATAAGCTTTCAAAAAGCTCCAAATTAAGTTTAAAGAGTTCATCATTAGTTGATTGGATTGGTTCAAGTGATTAAGAAATCATTCAGTTCATGTTAAAAATGTAGACTTAAATTCTTTTTCAAGTTTATTTAGGTATAAATAATTTTAATAGATTACATTTGTCATTTTTAAAAATAAAAAAACTTACCTAGCACTTATGAATTAGTCACTTTATAGATATTTGTAGGATTGGTTAGGTCAAACACCTAAATATTTATATTATATAAAAATATCATTATGTTGATATACACATTAAATAAAACATATATTATGGAATGAATGGAGTATTACTTAAAATTTAGTTTTCATTTTACTTTATTTTTTGGTTGCACAATAAAAAAGCTTTAAAAAAGAAATATCTCTATATAAAATATATACCGCATTAGATAGGAATGGTTTAGTGTCGGAAATGGGGTTCTGGAAGGAAGGAGTTTAATTGGGAGTGGCAGTAGAGATGGCAAAGGAACTTGTTTGCTTGGGAACTACTGCTTTTGCAAGATCTAGAAGCTGAATTCTTTTTTTTTTTTTTTCTTTTGGTAAATAGAGATATTATAAAGCTAAGTAATTAGCGACCTTTGGAAAGTGTTAAACTTAAGCAAGGCTAGGATCAACTTCTGCAGCATATTGGCAATGTCCCAAAAGGAGCAGGAAGAGATGCATGGAAGTAATCTAGTTTGTCACG